AACAGAAACCCCATAGCCTGCAAAATCCAAAATATTTACAATCTGGCCCATAACTGAAAAAGTTTGCTCAGTCTTTTCTTAGACCATTATTTCTACCTAGATCAGTGGCTCCAGCCATTGGTAGAAGAAATCATTTATCTAATTCCTAAGATGGTAGAATAAGCCATTTAGAGTTGCATATTTCTATACTGGGCTGTCCAGTGCAGAATGCACATGTCATTCCCTTGGGGTTCTAGGATTCTGGCTCAAAAGTCACAAGACACTGACAGAATGACATTAGTAATTGCAACCTTACTAGATTCACTGCCTTTTATTCCCCATGAAAATACAATGTTTAGTTTTATTATGTTTCATTTTAATAATTATATATCCTGGCTTCAAGTGGAATAGAGAAGCTTATAGCATAACAACTAGAACATCTGGATAAACACAGAAACCATGTGATGGAAGGTAGTGTAAAGTTGCTAATATTGGAAGGTGGTGTAAAGATGCTAATACAAAAATTCATCTCAAGATTCCAGAGATGGCAGACCCTCCAAAAGGTAAGCTAAAACCTACAGTCTATTTTTTTTTTCTTTTTTCCTACTGTGTTCATATCATGTCCAGTGCTAAATAAGGGTGGGAAGTGTTACATCATTATGACAGCATATGTGAAAGGGATGAATTCTCTTTGGAAGAAGATAAATATCATCTGAAACTCTGCATTTTTTCATACTTAATATCTGTACTTAACCAAAAGTCTTTATGCATTCAAAGATACAACTAAGTGTCCACTAACAGAAGACTGGGGGAAGGTGAAGGTAATAAAAACAGGCCCTCGCTAGGGAACATTTCTCACCCTATTTTATGAGGATAGCATTGTCTTGGTACCAAAAATCTGACAAGAAATTTTGAGGGAAAAAAATCATGGACCAAGTCTTTTATGAATATAAATATAGAAGTCCTGAATAACAAGTATGTAGCAAATCAAATCCTGCCATGTGTGTATACCTATAATATGTATACTTATTGAGAAAATTGAGCCTGATATATACAACCATACCAATAGACGCAGATAATCAATTTGATAAGGTTGTACACAATTTTATGACAAAAATTCACATAAATATAACAGAAGATGGCAAAATTCCCTAATCTGATAAAGAATATCTACCAAAATCTACTTAAGATATCATTCTCAATAGTGAGATATTAGACCTCCACCCTTTCTGCAGATCAGAAAGAAAACAGAGATGCCCACTATTACTAGTTCTGTTCAAAGCTATCCTAGAAATCCTACCCAGTGCAATAATGAAATAAGAAATTCAGGTTCATAAATTGGAAAAATAAGAAACAGAACAAATTATACCTCAGACAGCAGGATAATATACATAGAAATTCCAAATGAATCTACAGAGAAATCATTGCCAACGATTAGTAAATTTAGCAAAGTTGCTGGATATAAAGTCATCAGGATGATAAAATCAATTATATTTCCGCATACTAGGTAGAAAGAAACGAAAAGGGCATTCATTGTACACATGCATCGAAATAGCACAATGAACCTCAGAAATATGTCAATTAAAATAATAATAAAACAATAAAAAGTTATAACAACAACAAAGGTAGTAATTACCTAGGAAAAATCTAAGAAAGATTTGCAAGCCTCAGTACTGAAAACACAAAATTACTGGGAAAATAAATGAAATGCAAATAAATTGGGAGCATAACCACAATCAGGAATTGGAAGATTCAATGTGTCAAGATGCCAATTCTTTCCAAATTGATTTGTAGATTTAATGTCACCCTGATAAAACCCCAGCAGGAAATTTTATAAAATTGACTGTCACCTTTAATATTTATTTGGAAATGTAAATACATAAGAGTGGCCAAAACATCATTAAACAGGAAGAACAAATATGATAGACACATACTACCAGATACCCAGACCTGTTATGAAGCTTTAGAACTCCAAACTCTAAACAGCACAAAGTCCATTAAGCTACCACACATATGAGTTTTGCCCTTCACTTATCTCATGTTGGTAGAGAATTGGAATGATACTGTGAATCTGGGAACTTCAAGAGCATTGAGTTGTGGTGTAGGAGAAACAA